TCTACTCATTGAGGGTGAACCTTTCGGTAGCCATTGTGGCCATGACAGAGAATCGCACAGTTCTGGATGGGGATGGCAACGTGTCCTATGTGCAGGACTTCCCCTGGGACTCTAAACAGAAGGGCCTGATCCTCAGCTCCTTCTTCTACGGCTACATCCTGACTCAGTTCCTGGGCGGCTACATTGGCACCAAGATCGGTGGCAACATTGTGAGTTACATTGCATGATATAAAAAAGTATTCTTAAAACTGGAATCTAAACGTACTTTGCTCTGATCAAGCAATATTTAAAGAAAAACTAATAACATCCGCTTAATCAAGTTATTACAGCTATGTATTTGCATTAAAAATTAATTACAGATTTAATAGCTTAATAGCAGTCAATATTAAAATAGGGAATTAATCATGTTTAAATACAATTTTTAATTACAAGTTGATAAGGTATTGGATTAAAATAATTTTGGAAGTAATAATTCATGAATTAAATCGTTCAGTGTGCCACTAAGGCAGTTAAAAAAACAACTTGCTTAGATTTGCTTAGGAATCAAAAAATCACTTGTATGCATTAAAATGGGAAGTATATAATAATATTAGCTATATTTACTTAATATATTTTAATGTGATGCAAGCACGTATAATTTAAATTCTCTTTTATATAAATCCTAGGTATTCGGCACTGGAATTGGTACTACTGCCATTCTGACCCTGCTCACTCCGCTGGCCGCCTCGCACAGTTTGGAGATGTTCCTGTTCATCCGCATCGTTGAAGGCTTCTTCGAGGGCGTCACCTTCCCCGGAATCCATGCGGTGTGGGCCCGCTGGTCTCCTCCTTTGGAACGATCCCGAATGGCCTCGATAGCCTTTGCGGGCAACTATGCCGGCACTGTGGTTGCGATGCCCTGCTCCGGATATCTGGCCACCAAATACGGCTGGCAGAGCGTGTTCTACGTGTTTGGAACCATCGGCGTGATCTGGTACCTCACCTGGCTTATTTTCGTCAGAGCCGGGCCTGAACAAGATCGCTTCTGCTCGAAGGAGGAATGCGATTACATACAAAAGACCATTGGCTACGTGGGAAGCAAGCACATCAAGCACCCCTGGAAATCCATCTTCACATCCATGCCCTTCTATGCCATCATGGCCTCTCACTTCTCGGAGAACTGGGGCTTCTACACGCTACTCACCCAGCTGCCAAGTTTCCTCAGAGGTAAGCCCTTTCGGGGAAAAGTACTCTCAAATGATTTACATACAATCTGGCACATTTGATTACACTAAGTATTAAACAAATAAGTTCAAAGATTGCTTCCATTTAAAATTAAAATTAAATAATATTTTTATTTCATGCAATCAATAGATCTATGTTTTCTTAAAGAAGCGAATTAAAATTCCTCTTTTTAATAAAAAAAAAAATATTTTACACTGTAAATAATAAAAAGAACAGTGAAAACTATTTGGTAGTGATTATATATTGATTTAAAATACATTTGAACATTTTTGAACTATGGTATAATCATGTTTTCATAATCAATTTTAATATTCTTTTCATAAAAAGGATTGTTAATTATTTAGTCCTTATGTGTAAAATCTAATATAAAAATTGTTGGCAATTATAATTATCACATTTACCCCTGCCATTACAGATACGCTCAACTTCGACCTGGGCAAAACTGGCATCCTGTCGGCCGTGCCCTACCTGGCCATGGGAATCCTGCTGGCTGTGTCCGGCTATTTGGCCGATTGGCTGCAGGTGAAGGGCATTTGGACGACTACCCAGGTGAGGAGGAACTTCAACTGCGGAGCCTTCCTGGCCCAGACGGTGTTCATGATGCTGACGGCCTATCTGCTGGATCCCACGTGGTCGGTGGTGAGTCTGACCATTGCTGTGGGACTGGGAGCGTTCGCCTGGTCTGGATTTGCGTGAGTTTTGTTTGCTTGGACAGGGTGGAATCTCAACGAGATGTGGTAATCATTCTCGTGCCTCATTCACAGGGTTAATCACCTGGATATTGCGCCCCAGCATGCCAGTGTGCTGATGGGAATTGGCAACACGTTTGCCACCATTCCGGGCATCGTAAGTCCGCTGCTCACCGGCTACGTGGTCACCAACCAGACGAGCGACGAGTGGCGCATCATCTTCTTCATTTCGGCGGGCATTTACCTGATCGGCTGCGTCATCTACTGGTTCTATTGCTCTGGCGAACTGCAGGAGTGGGCCAAAACACCGGAGCAGAAGGCCCAGGAGGCCGAGGAAAAGGCCCAGCTGCAGTTGACCCAAACTTCAGGGTTTGTCAACGCGGCCGCCGAATTGAAGGACTAAGCGATTCAGTTCGACGTCGTCATCACATCATGAATTTGTGCTCTAGTATTTGTCGTTGTTACGTTTTTGTGATGCTAGCGATATGCGCACCATTGTGTCTTTATTTATGTATGTTAATCCATTTAGTCTTTCCCGACACTCAGTATGAGTGTCCTTGCGAATAAACAAGGCATTTTATTACAAGTATTTCTGGGATTTTTGTGACTGATCTAAAAAGTATGCAAAGTAATGATTTTAGGATAAGTTGGTTGGGGGCGTTACGTTTCAGTCTGAAAGTATGCTATATAAAGCTACATATCCGCTTATAACAGTATCTGTTAGGTTTTAACAGAACAACTTAAAATCGATTTGTCTTTTGTATTACTTTATGTCATAGTATATCGAAAATCCTTATAATATATTATGAAATGATTGTGTTGTTTACTTTGCATACATGTATCCTAATATTTCGTATAGCTTGTTCATTAGACCAAATTGCTTAAAGTTTCATAGCCAACATATTTTGGGAGCTGTTTACATTTAAAACTGCTCCAATTTGCATACGCTTAAAAACTGTTTCGCTTCCAAATAATTTATGTGCGTTTATGATTTATGAACAATATTCATAAATTTGGTAAGTTTAGCCAAAAAACTTTATTCTGTAGTGAGCTACACAAGCAGATCGTTAAACTCACGCTGAGTTTTACCTGGTTGGCCTAATTTATAGAGCGTTTTGTTGGGAGACTAATTTTTAGACGAATTTTTAGCCGTTATAATGGTTCTATTTATGGTTGTTTTAAAGCATTCTAACTTTACGCTTCCATTTTTTGGGAAAAAAGTTTAAGGGTTAAGCGTTAGCTAAATTAAGTGCTGAAATTTAGTTTATTACATTTCTCTTTTCATCTGTAATACTGGTTAAGCAAACCACCTTTTGGTGGTGTGCTTCTGGGCTGAAGCCTGAGTCATGATACACGGCGTATACGCAACGTACACCCGGCGTATACGCAATGTGGCCAGCTGATAAGCTGATGGGTAGGTCGTGTGCAGCGAGTTGGCTAGTAATCGCGTGCGCAAAACGAATTGCCCAGCCTATCGTCTGATAAATTGCGAACCACTCGCCCCCAAGGCTTGCACACGACCTGATAAGTCGGGTCAAACAAACAAATTTGTTCTGGATTTGTGCAATTTTGCACCCGTTCGAGTGCGAACCCAATCCAAATGGGTATAAAAAGAGGGGGAGTTGCTGGATTGGGTCATCAGTTGAATAGCCAACAAGCAAGCAAGTGAACTTCAGACATCCTCAGCCAAGTAAAAGTCAGAGATACATATACCTACCTACATACAAAATGGTTTGCAAGGGATGTGGAACTAGTAAGTGATACGAAACAGCAGCAAGCCGAGTAATTGACAAGCTTTCTCCATTTCTCCAAACAGACTGCCAGTGTTCGGGGCAGAAGTGCGGGGACAATTGCGCCTGCAACAAGGACTGCCAGTGCGTATGCAAGAATGGGCTTAAGGACCAGTGCTGCAGCAACAAATGAATTACTATATCTAACTTCTAAACTAAGGCTAAACTCCCCACCGAGTTGGCCAGAAAACCAATAAAGTTTATGAAGATTTTGGGCATTTAAAAGTTTTCACAGTTAACTTTCGTTTTGGGTGGTCTACTACAACTATTTGACAATCCGATAATTATATTTATGGCATTTTCGAGCTAAAACCAATTATGGTGAAATAATAAACGTGAGCTGGCATTTCAGTTAAGCAAACCACAAAATAGAATTACATGAAAAATAAACAAAATCCAACGCAATGCGACAATTTGGCTGGGATTGCAAATATTTGTGCGCTCGCTGACATCTGCACCGGAATTAAAATCCAATCCATCAGCGGTGATTTTGTTGGCAAGCGAATTGAAAGTCCGCTGAATTGTTGCCTAAACGAGACATAAACAGAAATAACATTCAATTTGCCTGGCCTTTCGAACTGAAACCAAATTATTTAGCCGCTTCTACAAATCTGGTGGACTGAACTGTGCATTTTATTCGCAGAAAATATAACCCATTTGTCTGCGGGCATAAAATGTATTTGGCTTTTGAGGCAATAACCCGAAAATGTGTTTCTGCCAGTTTTATTGCATTCCAAAAAATATTTAGCCCCTCCTTCAGGCTGCCCAATTCTCCAACTTTAATGGTCTGCCAACTGAATTGATGTGTTTCCGTATTGGCTAAATAATAACTTTCCGCACCAGGTTTATTTATATTTAAAGAGCGGTTGAGCCTTCCATTCGAGTGGCCAAAGCCCGTAGGCCCGAGCTTCCAGCTGTCAAAACCAAATGACCAATTAAAATACAGGCACTTGTGGACAATTTCAAGCGTCCGTTTCCGGTGCTTGAGCTGTCAAAATATTTATGAAACAACAGTGGTTCAGATCCATTAGCATAATCAGAGGTGCGTGATTGAGGCGTTTCTCCGAGGGTTTTGTTGCGTGCCGAGGTCGCTTTGTTTCATTTTGCCCTGTTCTTGTGGCCGGAAGTGAGTCGCAGCCTTCTGGCTAATCAGGTGTGAATAATGTGACAAGAAAACGCTCTCCAACTTGGACTAGTGGAAATGTATACTGTGTACTTTATAGGTCATAAGATGTAACACAATTCCTTTTTTTTAACCTACAATATAATGTTATGAGCACTTCAGTACAAAGTTGCTTTGCATTGAGTATCATATATAAACAGCTCCTTAAAACACTAAAATGGATCAAAAGTTGGACCAGAAATTTACAATGGAACTGTCGACCATCGAGAATGGGCTACCAGAGTCAGTAAACTTAATAGAACAAGGTGAGACTGGGTTCATATCAAGATATTGCTTAACTTTCGCTGACTCTTTCCAGATGATATTCCAACTAATAACGATCCTATCAGAGCCATAAGACTTATTATAATGGTGATAATATTAAATGTTTGCTTAATTGTGGGAACCGTTCCCATCTTCATGTATATGAACACGCTAACCGAAGTGATTAGAGAACGGTTTTTGGACTTTATACTTGTTGGCGGAGGTCTTATTACAATTCCGATGTTATACAGGATGGGAGTGAGTGATATAAAACATAATTGAATTCGGATTTATAGAGGATTGCTTTTCCTAGGATCTTTCGAAGGGCCGCCCTAATTTCTACTACATTTAATCCATAATCAACGGATTTATGTAATACAACATGATTTGGCTCCAAATTCTAATTTACTTTGACTTTATATTCAGCTTTTCCTTACGATTAAAATTCCATACCAATCATACTACCAGTGCCTTTCAACTCGTAACTTTTAGGGGCACTTTACTACATTTTGTCCTCCCATACACAACATACAAGTAGATCTCGTGTTTAATATTTAAACTAAATTTAGTGTAAAAAGTTAGCTTATAAAACCATCAAGATGTCGATCAGGAGGACTGGACTGATGTCCTATAATCAGAAGCGCATTGCTCGCTGGTATTTTGGGGGCGTGGCCAGTTCTATAGCCGCCCTCATTACACACCCGATTGATCTGATGAAGGTGCTCATGCAGACACAGGCGGAGAAGTTGTCGATGGTGCGAACTACTCAAAAGATATTACGGGAGCAGGGAGTTTTGGCCTTGTACAATGGAATATCGGCCTCGATGTTGCGTCAATACACGTACACCTTGTCACGTTTTGGGATTTATACAGTGGGCTCTGGCATGATGGACACCAGCACCATGGGACGCAAAACGCTCCTAGCGGCGATTGCCGGAGGAATTGGAGGATATGTGGGTGCTCCTGCGGACCTGATCAACGTCCGCCTGCAGAACGATGTCAAGCTGCCCCAGGAAAAGAGGCGCAAGTAAGAGATTTTTATATATTTAACAAAAGAAAATATCAAACCAAACTACAAATTATAAAAAAATAAAATTATAAAAATAATTTTAAACATTTATAAGAACTTTAATATTGTATTACCAAAGATGTACATTATTAAACCTTTGTATTTGTTACTACCAAAAACTCGGAACTAACGCCCTGATAAGACAGTTTAATAGGTTTTTTTTGTATTTTCTAGTAGTTTCAATTGTATAATATATTGATCCCTTTCCTTTAGCTACAAACATGCTATAGACGGTCTAGTTCGCATAACTCGAGAAGAGGGCTGGCGCAGTCTGTTCAACGGCTCCTCGATGACCGCGCTGCGAGGAATGCTCATGACCGTGGGCCAGATCGCCTTCTACGAGCAGAGCAAGTCTTCTTTGGTGCACCTGGGAATGCCGGAGAATATGGGCACCTACATCACCGCTTCGATCATCTCGGCCACGGTGGCCACCACATTAACACAGCCGATCGATGTGGTTAAGACCCGGCGGATGAACGCTGCCCCTGGTGAATATTCCGGTCTGGCGGATGTGTTTATTAAGACCTCTAGAGAGGGTCCACTGGCCTTCTTCAAGGGCTATACGCCCTCCTTAATGCGATTAATGCCGCACACCGTATTACTGTTCCTGGGCCTTGAGTTCCTGAGGACCCATTTCGGCTATCTGCCTGAACCTAAGCAGGTTGGGCCTTATTATCGCTACGATGATGTCGATGACGACTAATCTGTTCTTGTATTATGTTCCAAATTATCTGTCTCATTTAATGTCTACAGTTATAGAATTGTGTGTCTAAAAATTAAATTACATTGGTTATAACAAGATATCATGGTACAATAAACATTCAAGCTACCAAACAAAGCTTGTTTTAGTGTTTCTTAAACTCAAACCAAAATCTATCAAAATACTGATAGATTATAGGTTTTAAGATATATTTTAAAAACATTTTAAAATCTTAAAAAATCCAAATCAATTGCTTTTACTTGGCCAAACCTTTCTGCGACGATTGGGAACTAATCAGATTATGTCGTGCTAGAAATCTCCTGGAATTTTATGAGTAAATCTAATGGAATGCTTTTTGTTTGCCAACGAAATTAAATCTGGAATTTGCAATTTGCATTTTCTTTGGGTGAACATTTTTTTGCAGCTTTTTATTCCGCTTTCACGATTCAGTTCTCTTTATTTTGGCCTGGCCCCGTTTTGTTTGGGCTGGCATACTGAATGAATGCTTTATGAGGTGAGCTACTCCATTACCCAGATGAATGCTTTAATGGCCTTTAAAGCTAATGAAGCTGCCGTGTGGCAGTGGAACTTGGCGAGCATTTCAGCAGGGAAGTCGTAAGGCGAGCGCACAGGGCCGATGTCGTGTAATCGCATTAAAGCCATTAACTGGCTACACGAGAAATGGGGAAATAGAAGCGAGTAGCGAGAGTGAGTGGGAAAAGTGAAAGGAATGGAAGGGAAAGCCCATCCGGTGTGGAGACACGTTGTGTTGACACGGGAAAACAATCATACGCCCCGTGTGTCGGACACAGGACTCAAGGTGAGTGCCATTCCGGCTTCTATCGATGCCATCGCCCATGCAATATTGATGCCGGCCAACGAGCTTTCAATGTCCTAAACAGTGTTTAAGTTGTTCTGGCCAAAAAAGTAAGGCAACTTTTCAGCTCTTTTTCAGCCATTCGAGCCCAAGGCAGTTGCCGCTCCGAAGTTAATTACATTTCGGAAACATTAAAAATTTAACGCATCCCAAGCTTCTCAGAATCAACTGGCTCATGTGAGTGGTTGCGGAAATTATAATAAATAATAATTATGACAAAGAATTTAATTTCACCGGGCAATACACATGTGGTATGTTCAATAGCCGTATGTGTGTGCGCACATTAAAGCACAATGTTGATGGCAAAATTGAATTTAATCGGAAACTCTCGGGTTTCATAACGATTGCGGTGTTATTCCCTCTGTAAAAATAAATGCCAGGCTTGTAAAAGATTTTATGGCATGCTTTTCGGTAGTTGATAATCGTTTAAACGGTGTCTGTGGTGGATTAATTGCTTTGAAAGATGAAACGGTTTAAAAAATCAATTGTCATCAACACTAGTGGTTATTCCAAGCGATGGAAAAAAGAAAGGAAATTAATTGTTATTTTATTGGACATGGAAATGGTTAAATAAATAAATGCAATGAATATGTTGCTATGAATACGGAGTTAATTTTTTTGGGACTTAAGTCCTCTTTAAAGTTGTAGAAAAAATTCAACTCATGATCTGCAAAGAATTTCGTTAAACATATAATAAAATTAGTTAATCAACATTAAAAAGGCTTCCTTGGTTAATAAATTATTTTCAAGGATGATAAAATTATGTTTTAAGACAGTTGTTGTTAATTTAACCACTTTCTCGCAGTTCTGAGCGAAGTACCGCCCTCAAACTTTATGTCGCCGATTTGATGCCCAACCGAAGTACATAATAAAAGTGCCATTTGGCTGCGCAAAATTTATGCAAATTTCCCATGTGCCTGTGTGGCATCAGTAGGCGGGAAAAGTGGGTTGAAACAAGAGTCAAAACAGCGGCAATAACGACCGCAACGACAAATGCATAAATCAGTTTTAATGCAAATTTCGTTACATTCCATGTTGTCGTCTCAATAAGCAGCCATTAATATGCTGCGCCTGCTGCATAAATTGTGTGATTTTTGCGGTTTTGCTTAATTGTACGCATTGTCGCAAGGACTACGGCCAATCCTGGTACTCGTCCTGCGCAATTATTCATACGATGGTCAAGGACAACAGCTACCAGTTGCCGCACATTTGCGGTCTGCATTTTGCGTAGCAGTTTGCGTGGAAATTACTTCAGTGCAGTTAAAGAAAACCATGCATATTCTTGATATAAAATTGGAAAATATACTTTACTAATACAATCCGAAAGTAAACCCTTTTTCATAACCCTACTGCCTATCTCAAATGTAAGCCAAAATCAATTTTATGTCAAAATTGAACAAAATTGAGAACACTTTCTTCTTGATTTCAAGAAAGAGTATTCTCAAATAAGTGGGAACATGAATTCTTAAATTAAGTGCTTTTTATCTTGGCTTGTTTTCGTTTTCAAATTTTTTCTGGACTTAGTAAAAGTATGTCAAAATATAATTTCATGATTCATTTTTAAGATTAGTTGGTACAAAATGTTAAGTATTTTTGTTCTTGATAAATCTTACCTAAAATCGTATAACCTTTGGCGCTATGTGTATATTATTTGAACACCGATTTCGCATTTTTCCGAGTGCATTTATGATGGAACCGAGTCGCAGTAAGGCGTTCGCAATTGTCGGCCATTTAAATGCAGGCCAATAAATTCAGGCGCAATTTGAAGTGGCGCTTTGTCTGGCCGTTCATTCCGGCATTATCCTCTTTATGCACGGAAGTCCATTTATATTGCCAGACGGCGACGGGCGAGACACAAATGAAGTGGAGTTCCCGGCACGGAGCACGCAGAGGAGCCTTTAAATACCTTCGTGGCCAACTCCATTTCCCCGAGATGCCAGAATGCAATAAACTTCTAAATCAGTCGATTAAGCTGCGAACTGCAAATGCCCCTAAAAGCACACGGATACGAGTACGAATGTGCGTGCCGATGTGCGAGCACAGAAAGTTTTTGAAAAATGTCGAGCAATTAAAATAAGTAGCGTGAATCTCGAGGGAGTGAGTTGCCATTGGAAGTTGGTTTTGCCTCGGTTTGGTACGCTTTGTTATCTTTCGTGTGGATTTGGCTGTCAGCAGAGTGTGCAGCAAACCAGAGGGTTAAATTAGCTGGGGGGTAAAGGGACAAACAGTGGATTAAACAGCACATTCTGGACCATTTAACTATGCTTTAATTTAATTTTAGGGAAAACATTTTTGATTGGGGTCACAAGTGCTCTAGGGAATGCACAGGTGATTCAAAAAACGATCTAGTGAAAAAATAAAGCATATTTCCACTGCTTATTAAGCTGAAATCATTTATGGTAGAAGGCTATTAAGAGTTTAATACTTTTATGTTGCTGGAAATTAAGGTAAATTATTTCTTTTAATGAAGATGATATCAATGTACATGAAATTGTAATGCCTCAATACAATTTATTATATTATATAATATTGGTTGTAACATTTTTAGTGATATTGATGGGATTTTTTTGCAATCAATCAATTTATGTAAGATTTGTGAGAATTGAATGTATACATTTACAATCTAATTTAATTCCTTGAAAAATTTTTTATATCGATTGGTGATTTAAAAGTAGATTAGTTACTCAGTTATTTTTTTACATTTTTAAATATTCCCGTTTACCTAGCAATGGATTTCCCAAAATCTTTATTCGTTCAAATATCTTTAAAGCCAAATCCATGAATATGTGAAAATGAACTGAAAGTCCTTGATTTTCAGTGTTAGTTGAAGTCATCAATTGACAGCATTTCTGTGAAATGATTTGGTTTTGCATCTAGTGAAGCCATTTTACAAAGTAATCTGAATCGCACGTTCACAGATTCGAAACACATTGGATGTTATTTGGCATCTGTCTGCCGGAGATTTGTTGGCCATTTGAATGCTTGCCACATACACGAAGGGCAGGAGGCATAACAGTTTATCTTTATAATTAGATCTCATCGTATCTATGTATCTATGGGGCGAAAGTAGTGCAGAATGGCAAAAACCACTTCCACAGCCATTTGCTTCGTCACGGGGTCATGCTGTCTGGTTACACGTACTCCGAGCCACTCCGGAGGATATGGCCATAATGGGGGCCCAAAACCCAGAGGCATGGCCAAAAACTCAACGAGAACCGAACCGCGAATCGCGAAACTTGGCTCATTAAAGATTAAGACGCATTAACACAAATGGTGTGAGGGGCTAGCAATTTAAGAGCCATCAGCATAAATATTTATGCAAATTGGGATTACAAGTATTTCGTAGGGCCGCCTCGGTGGAAACTTTCTGCTCTGCGACTGCGATAATGCCCGAAATTGAAATTTAATTAGAATTAAAGCCGCGGGTTTCGCCGTTTCGATTACCCAAAGTTTTCTTAAAGCTTTGCCTTTAACCAGTGACCTTGCCGATTTTCCTTTTCGGCTGCACTTGCACTGCTGCATCTTTGAGTTTTTCCCCACTCTCTTTCGATTTTCCCGCTGGCTGATTTCGCTGCAGCTGCTCTTTGTTTCGACATGGTAGTTTGCATTTTCCGCACTCAAGGCCACCGCCGCCTCGGCGAATAAATAAAAAAAAAAATACCAAAAAAACTCTGGTCAAACAAATGCATGCGGTTTAATTTATGCTGCCACGGAGCGAAACCAACTTCCAGCTCATAAAATGTCGAGGTAAGTTGAGTTGAACGGCCAAGGCTGCCAGGATTTAGATAAATGAAATGCATAAAGATCGCGCTGCCGGCAGCCGAGGTCAACTGCCATGCATTCCATTTCCAGCTGGATGGCCATAAAAGGTCGCAGATTTCAGCGCTCCATGGCACACACAAAAAATATCAATTTGAAGTGCATGGCCACCGTTGAAATTTTAGCATTTCATTCTTTATTTGTGATGTAAGAATATTAAAACTAGTCAAATATGTATGCGGGCGATTTTTTAATTAAATTCGAATTTTTATATAAACTTTTGTGCAGAAGTTCAGGTGCGATATAGTTAAATTTAAATGATAAAGGATTTTTTCTTTCTAGGTTTTTTACCAGCAGAAACTATTATAAATTCACAAATGAAAAGCAATTTATACAACTTACCTAGACTAAAAAGTAACAAAGTAGTGGATAAGTAAGCTGGTTGTATGATTATATTAAAAATATGCTACATTTA